ACAAGCAAATTTAAAATTATGTTTATTTTTTAAAAAATTAGCACTCTAAAATTTATTAGCTCAAACGAGGGTTTGACAACTATTTATTGGAGAAAATAACGTCTTGAACAAGATTTTTTAGGAGATGTCTGGTTAAAAATTGGAAAAATTAAAATTTTAAAATTTTACGTGTAAAATATTTTACTTTATAAATGTGGTTAAAATTAATAAGGTAGAAAACAGAGTTTAAAATTAGTGAAAATTACTAAAATAGTCAATTTTTTTCTTTGCATTTACAAAAATGTCACTTTTTAAATTATTTGCACAATTGTCAATTTTAAACATTTTTGCCCCTCTAAATAACTCAAATACCCTACATGTCTTTCATTAAATCTGAACGGCTTAATTTTGTCTCTCATTTCCTCTCGTTCAAGGTCGTCGGCGATGCTAAAATTCTCTATTTTTGTTCAAGCTTGAAGCCAAATGATCATTAATCAGTCCAACGCCGACAAAAATCACCATTAATCTCTTGAGGTTTTCTTTTTTTCTTTCTTTTTGCATTTATTGCTCTCTTCTCTTCTAATTTTTCAAATTTAGCAGTATTTTTTTTTATTTTTGCCCTAGATTGGTACAATGTCTTAGTTTTTCGATTTTTCATGTCTGTTTTTCTAGTTCTATGAAAATGTTAACATTATACTTTATGTAAGTTGTCTATAAATTTATTCTTATAATTATGTTTTTCACTTTTCCTTCATGTAAATAATGGTTATTGGTCATTATTGGGCAAATTGAGTTTGGGTTTAATTTTTGAGTTTGTGAAATGAGCCAAGATTGAACTGGGTATATTCTGGTCAACATACACAAATAAGCTCGATTAAGTGTGTCTTTATATAATTATTCAGGATTATTTGAATGTTGTTTTAAGTGTTTGATATTTTTATTTTCATTCTTGAAAGTGTCTTTGCATTTACATATAAAACTTATGGCTGAGTATATGAAAATTGGTGCTATTTGTAGCTTTAAGTATAACATATATTATGTAAAATTGGTGTTATTTGAAGCTTTAAGTATAACATATATCATGTTTGTCATAACTTGACTCTTTATGTCTTGGAAAACCAATATGAATGTGAAATGGAAATGTAAATGTCAATTCTGACAGTAACGAAATCATTTGTCGAGATGAATTGTGGTTCTCAACAATTGACCCACTTATCTCGACAGTTGGTTATAGAAGCTAAATTTTATTAAACTTCCCTTCTACGTGCGATTTTAGGGGTTGAAATGTATAACATATACCTAAGAACCATTATTACTTCATGAATATAGACATAGTAGTTATGAATCCATCTGTATAAACTGGCATTTTAGATAGAGAAGTCATCGACCCAAAAGGTGCTTGCCTGGACTACTGGAGGGTCCATTGGCTAGTTAGGTAAAATGAGATGATTGATATGTATTATCACTTTAATTTAAAAATGCATTTGTCCCACTGTTTGGAGTTTTTATCTTTATGATTTCAAACGTGATTGTTTCGTATGAAGGTAGCCCAAACTACCAAAAGGTCCTTTGACTAGATGGGTAAAGGAGTCAATTGGTATGTGTTACTACTTTCAGTTTTAAAAAATAATTGCTCAACTATTTTGATTTCTTAACATTCGCATTTGAAACTTAATTATTTTGTATAAAGGTGTCGACCTGGAAGGTACATGACCGGACTGTCACGAAGTTCCGTATGTTTTGGCAAATGGTAAGTTCCATAATGGAATAGTTATACAATGTCAAATTCTTATATTTTACGTTAAATATATTTTGTTGAAGACAAACGTATCATGTCATTGTTATACTTCAAATCTTGGTAGAATCTTTTATTTTCTTCTATTATTAAATTTTAGTAACTAATAAGATGCAAATCACTTTTACATAAGGGTAAACACTGATGTACCATTGGCGTCAACTATATCCGTTCAAGGTGACGATGACGCTAATGCATATATACAACGATCGACAAGTGTTTGAGTGCCTGCAGCATCGACTAGAACTCCATTCACAAGGGGGAGGGAATAGAAAGTCAACCAACGTTAAACGAGCAACATATCAGATACATTATAAAAGTCAACTAGGGAAATAGTAACATATTCTCAAGGATAAAATAACTGTTGTTTGAAGTAGTTAATGACATACTACTATTTTTGGATGTGCTTATTTCACAATGGAAACATATCATGATGGTACTTTTGTGTAGCTTTTCATTTTAAAATGTTTTACAGTTTCTATTAATAATGCGCACAAATATTTTAGTTTTTTGTAACCGTCACTTAAATGTTGTGTGTTCCTAGGTGAAATTCAATGGTGACATAGCTGAATTTGTTAATTTTGCAACTATTATGCTTTTGTAAACTATATTTATAGTCTCTAGTTTCTGTCAGGGATTCACGTGATAATGTATGTACATAATGGTGTATATCCGAATGTCCGTTACGTTGAAATTTTCAATGTACTTTACTCATTTGCAATGAACTGTCGAAAATTATTCTACAATTTGTTGTGATCGACAGTTGAACTGTCGGCAAGTAATAAAATATGTTGTCTAATAAACTATTATGCCCGCAGGAATATTTCTACACACTAATGCTTACAACTAACTTTGTCTACTTAGTTGTTTGTTCATCAAGTGTGAACATGGAATCCCCAATATCAAAAATTAATATTTTTGGTGCATTATTATTTTGAGACACTTTGCATTTGATAAACCTCGTATGCTGTGTTTACTGGAGATATGGCGAATGCTGTTATCTTTATGATATGAGAATTTATCATTTTATCATTCATCATTTTCTTTGTCGTCTATTTACATTTAAACACACTTCAATGTTCCCTAATAGTAAAGGATATGTTCTTCCGGCAAGTGCTACATTTAAAATCAAAAAGTATTCAGGATCATTGATTACCAACAACTACAAAAGAAAACTTTATGATAAAATCGTACTCACGATTTAAGATTCATATTTTGATGACGAAAGTAGTAGAGAAGGTTCAAATGTCGACGACGAATGAAGTGGACAGTATTAAAATGTAGTTGTATAATAAGTTATGTATAGTCTATCTTTTTTAGGGATGAATTTGGTAATGTTTTTACCAAGATTTTAGCATCTGCATGTCCCTTATGCCTCTTGTGTGCACTTTCTTATGTGCTCCGGACCAAGTGTCGAGAATGACAGAGACAATCTATCTGAAACGACAGATGAATTGTCGAGCTATCATGCAATATGTTGTCTATGGATCCGTATTTTACTTGTGAAGTTGAACGTGTATTTATTTGTCTGTCTGTGAATTATGTGGGAATAATAATGATGATGTAAGTTGAAGATAGTAATGTAAGTTGAAAATGTATTGAGGAATACCGTAAGTTGAAAATACCTTTATACAAGATATATACGCTCCGATGAAATCGATATGTTATGGCATGATAAAAATGAAAACGGTAAATTGCTGATTTTTTTTAAAGTACAAAAAGCACTGCACCTCTAATATTGTAGTAAAAAATTCAAACCAATTCTGTAATTGTCATTCTCCTTTTCTCCATAGTAATATAATTTAATATTAGTGATGTTTATTATTTATGCGTCAATTGAGTCCACTATTTACAACTTACAAACAAGGTGTTTGTTGGGGATTAAAATTAGATGTTTTAGTGAATTGTGATAGCAGTTTTTGAGTAATGTGGTTGAATTATTTTCAACAATAATAGAGTTCCATAATGACAACATAAAGAGCAATAAGGCCGCAAACGATAATGACAACAAAACGATAATATAACTTGATAATATACAATGCAGTAGGGGAACATTGGACATGCAACTTGAACAACGGCATCGAGTGATTGTTTAAGAAACTTGTATTACATTAGGGGTTGAACAAACTTTTCCCTATGCGGCACGATGAATTTCAATTGATGACACATATCTAAAATGTTAGGATTGTAAATGTGAGAATTTTGCACATTCTATATGTCAACATTTAATACCATCCAATTAGAGTTTTCGAATATTTAGATCCATGTAATAGCTTAAAGGAAAATAAAGGGTTTCAATTCAAGTGTCGAAATCGAAAGTTAAATTGTCTATCCCGACAGTTAGTAAATGTCGAGTTCAACGTTCAGATGTCTAACTCGACGATTTCGAAGACACTACTCAACAGTTGATGTGCCATAAATTTCGAGGAAGCTTAAAAACCATGTATTTGGTTCTTTGGAAGAAATTATTGAAAATATTAATGGTCATTACCAATTCTCAACTACAACGTCACAATATCTTCCCACGAATAAATAAGGAATAATTTAATGTTTCATTAAATACGAAATCCTTCACATTTCTTAGAGTATGTTGGTATTTTTTCCCTTCGAAAAATATATCAAAAATAAATCATATCAATGAATAAGAAATTTAAAAAGTTTAATTAAATATGACCATGTTATATTAAATATTTATAGTAGTAAACTATGATATTAAAATATAAACAATTTCTAGTAGCTCACATTTGAGATTGATCAATAGTTTTTCCTTATCGATGATGGAATGAAGATGGTGAAGAAGAAGGTAGGGTTTGTGCTCTACATATTTGTGTATTTTTTTCAACTTTTCAGGCTTTTTTTTTAACAAAAATACATATTATACAATATAATAATCATATCTTAAATGTTTAAAATATATAAAATAAATTATCATCAAATCAAACATTTATTGCTCCTTACAAATGGTAAAATTGATATTTTGCAGCAAAAAAATGAAATTTTTGGAAGAAATTTGTGCAAATGGAAATTTTTTGTGCATTTTTCAATTTTTATTTATGTAAATTCCCGTCAAACCCGGGCTTCAAAATACAGCCGTCCGATTAGTGTGACCTAGAGATTTCAAGATTCACGAACATGCGCTTGAACACAATTTTGGATCTTTGAGCGGCGTAGATTTATCCATCTCATGCCACGTTTACGTCTAGAAAAGCATAACCCGAGTGTATGTACACTTGCACCTAGGCCTTTCCTCATAGGCAAAAATCGAGTGCTCCTCAGAGCTTCCTGCAAATCCCGACTATCACAACCCAAAAAACCAAAAATAAAAAATGAAAAACCCTCGAAACCTTAGGCTAATTAATTGACTGACACGCGCCGCCGGGAAGTTCATCGGCGCCATCTAGATTTGTAATTAAAGGTAGGTTACAACTTTGTTTTATATTGGATTAGAATTTTAAAGTTTCATTTGTGCTAGGGTTTTGATTTGAATCTCAAGATTTTTTCTTTCTTTATGGTTATTGATTGATGTTATACGGAGTGGATAAATTTATGATTGACGCAGTTTTTTTTTTTTTTTTAAATATTGTTTTGATTTTGTGTTTTTTTATGTAGGGAGAGTTCGTATTATTCATTCAAGTTGAGCTGCTAAATGGTAAGTTTTGTCTTTTAGTAGTGTTTTTGTTATGGATTCAGCGTCTAATCCCTTGCCACCTATAGCAACAATAACACTAAATTGAAAATCGAAATGAAGTGAAGAACACTCTCTGCGTTCAGTTGCCATGTCATTACAACGAAGAAGAGGATTACTGTACGAAGAAAGGGACTTGCCCTAATAACTATTACACATGGATAAAATATTGGGGCGACTTAATGCATGTCAACTATCTGATCAAGGGAAAAAGTGAAAGAAATGAGTTGAAAATCTGATTTATAATGGAAATTTGGATACTTAAGACCTTTTAAAGGGTTTAATATAAGAAAATGTAAAATTGATGTGATTCTTAGATGTTTTTAGTTAGTGGGTGAATTTACAAGCAGAATTATGAAGACTCTGGAATCATAATTTGGCAAGTTGAATCTTACTTATATGTCATTATACTAATTTTTCAAGAGGAGCTTTTACCTTTATATGATTAGTTCATTGCAATTTAATATAACTTTAAGCATTAGTTCAATTACCCAATAAGTGTTACGGCTATAGATTCTGTACTCTTAAACTGACTCTAATACTTTGTGAATAGCTGTTTACCGAAGATATGCTTAGGTCATCATATTGTTACAAGACCTGGTTTACTGAAGTGGTGGCGAAGATACTTTTTTGAAATTTTATGTAATTCTTGTCTTTCCAGGACAAGGGATTTTGGATGCCAAAGGGTGGTGGACCAATGACTGACGGGGATGCAGTTTTTGGTAATTTGTCTAGTATGGAGCCCAAGCGTGGTCGTCAATGGTTCTCTGATGCTGCTGAACCTGAGCTAATTCCTAATAAAAAGCAAACTGTTGAATCTCCAATTGTCAAGCCAGCAGCAGGAATTTCCATGTCAAATGCTCTTCATTGGGATTATTCTTCTGGCTTTCACTCTGTACCAAACCAGTTCATTGATAGGCTATTCGGACCCGAGACTACCAGATCTGTAAACTTAACTGAAAGAAATATGTCCACTGTTGGGACGGATGGATTAAACATGAGGAAGAAGTTTGTTGATGAACAGTTTGGAAATGACTCTTCTGTTGGTCTGTCAATATCTTATGGTATCGAAGATCCAGAAACATGCATAAGCTATGGTGGAATTAGAAAAGTCAAAGTTAATCAGGTTAAGGACTCTGAAAATGGATTGCTTGCATCTTTGGAACAAAACGTAGGGATTTCCATGGATCAGACCTATAGCAGGGGAAGTACAGATACCTTCATATCCATGGGACAACCCTATGGGAGTGGGGATGCAAATATGAGATCTGTGAGTTCTAACTCCAGAAAAGGCAATGATCATGTCACATTGATGTCTCACTCATACGACAAAGGGGAAACTAACACCATATCTTTTGGTGGCTATCAAGACGAATCGGTTCTTGATGCTCTGGCAAGGCCAATTGGTAGCTATAGCTTATTGTACGAACAATCTTCAGATCAGACATCTGAAATACCAAGCAAAAAAGCGGTGGACGTTCAGAATGCTAATATTACTATGAGCACCTCTCAGGCGCCCAAATCCAGGCCTGACTCGACATCTAAAAATAAGTCTGAAACAAAACCATCAAGGAAAGAAGCGCCAAATAGCTTCCCTTCCAATGTCAGGAGTTTGATAGCAACTAATATACTTGATGGGGTGCCTGTGAGATATGTTTCTGTATCGCGGGAGGTAATTCCTTTTTACATTTTCTTCCCATTTTCAGCATGTTTGGCTAAGCTGAAAAAAGTGTTAAATTTACATAGCCGCTGTTTGATGCCCATTAAAAAGAGTTTCTTGAGGAAAATAAGTTTTGGAATAGTGATTTTTTGAAAAAATGTGTGGTTAAAAAGTTGGAAAAATTTTAAATTTACGTGTAAAATATTTTAATGTGAGAATGTGTGTTTGAAAATGAGTTTTAGAAAAAAAAAAAAAAAAAAAAAAAAGAGTTTTCAAAGAATGGTAGACAAATAGAGGCTTAAGATTTGTACTGAAAATTGAAATGAAGAGTAACTATATGTTGGCAAAAATTAGTTACTTAGAAGTAATTTTTAAGATTAGTCAAATTTATTCTAGTTCCCTGATTTATGGGATGTCTTCTTGCATTTAATAAGGAGCTTCGTGGAATTATTCAAGGATCTGGCTATCTTTGTGGGTGTCAAACTTGTGAGTATTCGAAGGTAAGCTATCTCATTTCCCTGCATAATAAACGAAGGTGATTCTGTTGTTTAAACCCTCTATCTTAAATTATTCTTTTGATAAAGACCCTGAATGCGTATGAGTTTGAGCGTCATGCTGGATGCAAGACAAAGCACCCGAACAACCACATATACTTTGAGAATGGGAAGACAATTTATCAGATAGTTCAAGAGTTGAGAAGCACTCCAGAAAGTATGTTATTTGATGCAATTCAGACTGTGACTGGTTCTCCAATAAATCAAAAGGCCTTCCGTATTTGGAAAGGTAATAAAAATGCTGTGTCGTGTTTGGTAGGAAGGATTGGACAGAACTTGGATATTAGGAAAACGAGTTTAAGGTCTTTTTATTATATTGTACAGTCATATCCAGGATTCTAGTATTTAATATTTTATTCCAACATACCTCCTTATCCTCCCCACGCAAAGTTTTCTGATTAATTAATTTCTCTTTTTCCTCATTCCAGAATCATTCCAAGCGGCAACCCGTGAGCTTCAGCGTATATATGGGAAGGAAGCTCTAAATCTATGAGAGTAGTAATCGAAATGTGAGTTTGCTATGTGATCTTTCTTGTGCATAGAGACAAATGCTAACTCGCTACATAGATAAATATTATAAAATGCATCTGATCTGGAGTTTTACATTTTGTCTTGTTCTGGACATCTTGGTATTTGGTGAAAACTTGAAATGAGCCCTCAACATTACCCCCACCCCCTTTTTTCCCACCCAAAAAATGAAAAGGGAAAGAGGAAAATATTATTTTTCTCAACATTTTGTTGTAAGTTGTATATGTAATGTATCACCAAATTATGTATTTCTGAACGGTTATCTTCAAACCAAATTTAGGACTTGGAAATTTTTTGTAAAGATGGTACTAAAATTTGATGATCATGTTCGTGTGCTGGAGGCCTAGGTAGGAGGAAATATCTTGTTGCATCTTGGAGGACTACTGTTATTGTATTATCAGGTGCAGGGGGATTAGATTTGTACAAAAATGAAGGTTGAGTTTGATTACTCTCATTTCCATATGTTGAAGTCTGATCTGGCACTGGATGGGTATTGGGAGATAGGGAAATTGCTTTCTGTATTGATTAATGGTGATTTTTCCTTTTCCCATGCCTGAGAATCAGTTACCTAGATTGTTAGTTTTTATTTGTTTGCGTAGATATTCTGAGTAAGCTGTGGACTGTCGTGTATGGTATAGAAGAAATATAAGTTTTAGCCATCTTATTCCTTTCATCACCCCCGGAACTAAGTGTGTACAGCAGATCAGGTTGGGCTGCTTTTGAAGTGGCACGACGCTCTTCACATCCTTTGTCAAGTTAGACTAGGAAAAAGTGTGAGGCCAGACATTATAAACTAACAAAAATTCTGGGAAGACTCTGAAGTCCTTTTTTCTTTTGGAAAGTACACGAGTGAAATGATCAACCTATTGATATTAGAAGAACCAATGGATTTTTCCAATATATCATTTCTGAGTTCAATGGAATTCATGATTTATGTTTTATCTTTCGTTTCCTATTCATTTGTTGAAAATCTAGCGAA